ATTTTTTTTTTTTTTTTTTTTTTTTTTTTGGAGAGAGTGGAAGGGGAGAGGGGAGGGAGGGAGAGAGAAACATTGATGTGAGAGACACATTGATTGTGTGATCCCGCACGGGGTGGGGATCTTGCAACCCAGGTACGTGCCCTTGACCGGGAATCAAACCCAAGACCCCTTGGTCCGAGGGCTGACACTCCAACCACAAGGCAAAAGGTCATAATTTTTCAAAGTCTCATTGAATTTTCATTACATGCCTAATTTTCTATCAAAATACCAGCAAATTTGATTACCCTCTTTATTCACCTGCATTGTCTCTAAATAAATTTTCATAGCTAAAAACAAATTTTCCCTAGAAGGACGATCAGGTGCCAGCACAACTGTTCAGAAAAATCTCTCAGAGGCTCCTCCATTATTTCCACCAGCGGAGGTTCCAATCACTCCCTGGGCTTGGCAGCGACTCAGGAAGAAGGACGGGGCTGAAGGAATGGAGGCTCCTGCCAGGACTCAGACCCACCGGAGGCAAACGCTGCTTATGCAGCACCCGCCTGGGCTACTCCCCACCTCGTCACAGAGCCCGGAGGACAAGAGAAGCAGGTGGGGGACATGAAGCTCACAAGGCCTGCGGAGCCTCTGACCTGGGAGTCCTGTCTTTCTCCAGTGTCCATGACCCTGTGGTGGGTTAACTATTAGCTTGCAGGGTAAAAATCTCAGACCCTTCATAGTTCTTGACAACAAGCATCCAAAAATTTTAAATTTTGTAGAATGAAAGGATGTCTTTGTCCTACCTGACTTCCCACCTCGCTCAAGAAAACAATCTAATAAAGTTCTGACACAACAAATAAATATGGATTGTCTCCTGTAGTTTGTCGCAAAGGGACTTAATGTTTCCAGCCATAAAACAGAGGAGTAAATTTAATGTATTGAAGGACACATGTAGGAAAGACAAGGTTAGCTAGGACTAACAAAGATTAAAGAGAAAGGAAGTAATCCTAGAATAGAGAAATATAAATGAATTACAAAGATGTCTTAAATTTTGGTTCTTAGTCTCACAAGCTAAACCATTCTGTTTCAGAAGATTACAGCCACATCGCCCTCTACTGGCAGCAGACTGAACACTACAGGGTAAGAGTTTGATCTGTGGAATCTGCATTCCTAAGTGGTATCCACCGCTGCCATTATTCAGATTTTAACCTCATTTATACAGATTTCTGAACCTCAGGTGTTCAGAGGTAAGAACAACATAGCTCCCTATGCATAGCCAGCCTGACAGGTTCATGCGGAACCACCCAGTGCCGAAAAGAGAGGACAGTGCTGACCACACTCGCCTTTAATTTGTAGCTGCCACTGATTGCAAAGACCACTAACAGAGCTGTAGCCTTTGCTGGAAGCCAACCCAGGCCTTCTGCCCTCACCTGCCCCACTTCCATTCCATGGACAGCAGCTGCTTAGACCTCCCCTCGCCTATTAACCCCATTACCAAACCAGCTCAGTTCCATCTCCAAAAGTATCACTTTGCTCCTGGGGGCTGCTGTTGGACTAGACAGTGAATGGCAACCCTTCGACTCCAGCAGAGTAACATCAACTGTGAACTCAAATGGCGAGTGCCAAAGGTCCAAACCTTAATTTTAGCTTAAACGTCACCACCCTATCAGTACTTCACAAGCTGCGTATCCAAATGTTTTTATCATGCATTGAAATCAGAAGGAATGTATAATGTACCAATAAATGTATTATTTATTTATAAATTACAGAAGTGTACAATTGTACAGTATGTTATGTACATTATAAAACACACAAAAATAGAAATTTTAAAGGATGAGATTAAATACAAATAACTGTTTTAACATTTTTCCAGTGGACTGATCATCTGCATGCCCCTGGGGTCCACACCCCACCTGAGACCACAGCCCTAGAGCCTGCCAATGATTGCTGTATTTGGATTGTTAGCTCAGGTTACAGAAAGTGTACAAGATCACAGCTTTTTTTTTTAGGTTTTGCAGAATAGTCCCAGCATCAGGTTTAAATATGTGAAAATGCTTGATGCTAACTTAAGTCGTATTTGGACTAATCACTACACGTAAGCTGATAAGATGTCACATTATACTTCACTGTTAAGCTGTTTCACTTTAAGGTAGGCTGTATTAGGGATTTCAAGGAGTTGAGTAAGAATATTTGGGGAGAAAAATGCTTTTAAAAAAACACAAAAATATAGGATAAGGATTTGCTTTTTTAAAGCCAACAAATAGCTAGCACCTAAAAAAATTATCCCTCTGCCTACAGTGGAAAGACTTAATATAAAAAAAAAAAAAAAAAAGAAATTC